CAACAAAGATCAGTGTGATCAGTATGACCGAAAGCTCAGGCAAGAAATGAAGCGATAATCCAAGGTGTCCAGATCATCAATCTTTCCTGAAAGCGCATGTTCCATGATTTCCCCATTGTGATCCATTGCGTTTTTCCCATTTTGGTGGAACCTCTCATTTTTGGAGAAGCCATCTGCCACGGAATATGCTTGGCTTTGAAGCTTGGAATTTCATGAAAGTCCCAGTCTCTGAACTTTCACAGCGGGCTTCCTTGACATGTTCGGATCCCCCTTGGAATTTCCCGTTGTGCTTGGGGTATGTTGGGGTTATGGGTGAACCCCCAAAAGGGCCCCCAAGGGTCCTGTTGGGGTTATGGGTGACCCCGCAAAACAGCCCCAGTTAACAGCCTCCAGGGGGATCAGAAGGTGGTTTCTGCGACGGCTCAGTCCTTTCGCTTCAAGGGATTTTGAGGGGGCGCCGGGGGTTCAGCCCAAGGCCTGCACCTGATAAAACCAACGCGGAAGCCTGGGAAACTCCAAGAAACACACATGTTCAAATGCGGTAAACATGGGTAAACCCAGGAATGTGTTAGTAAACCATAGTAAACCACAGTAAACCTGAAATGATGGATGAATCCAAAATAATCCAAAGCTCCAACATGGAGACGCTGAGGTCATGTGGAGAAGGAGGTGCAGCGTGTCGCATCCTGCGACCTGGGGACATTGGGTATACCGAAAAAAGCTTCGCAGGAAAGTTGGATGGTTTCATTAAATGGTGGGGAGCTGAGGTATCATATTCCATCATATTTCATCCTATTCCTTATTTTTGATGGTTTCGGTGCAGGGCAGCGCTCGCTGCGGCGGTGCTGCTCCCCTCGCTACTTGGCATTTGGGCTTGGGATGCAGGTGGATATCTGTGGATGTAATATTATATAATCATGTGTATTATAAATAGTATACTGTACATACATATAATTCACATAGTTCATACACACACATATATATATAAATATACACACACGCAGTTTTATTGTCATGCTGAGTATCATACAGAATCATCATTCTATAACTATTTATATATTGTACTTGTACATTTCATATTTTCATTGGTATACATGTATGTGTGTCATATACAAAAGCTTGCACACATACAATACAGTATATTCATATGTAAGTATGTATCTTATATATATATATATATTACGTACATATATATATACATACATACATACACGTGTTTGTGTGTCCTGACATGGAGGGGATACTCCCAATTTGCAATCTTAATGAAATTATGATAAATAATGGGATTCAAGGTTCCCATTCTTGAGACAAGCCCATATACTGCGACCCGAAGGGTTCGAGAAGCTTCTTGGTCCTGTGAGGACCTTGGTGAATGGATGTGAAGGGGTGCTGGTTTTGGCAAATTACAGTAACACAATGATCCTCGCTGCATTATGTATGATTAAATTGATTAAACATACTAAATCTAAAATGCTCTGTTATTTATATCTTAAACTCAGTGGTGACTGTAAGATCATCTGACAAGTGGTTTAGTTCAGCTGGATGGGATTCCAACCATCCTTGGGTGATGGCTGATCACCGGCAGATCAATCCACACAGTTTGGATGAGGACATGATGCAGTCCGATTCCGCCAGCTGAACTTCTGTGCCCAAGGGTTGCATCACAATCAAGCTGTACTGTCAGATATTTTTTGTGGAGGTTACTGTAAGCCCGATTTTGTAAGATGTTGTTTACATGGCAATTTATGGCATATTGGTTTGTCTGCAAATATGATGCCCCACAATTCACTGGTTTCACATTAAAATCAGCATTTGTGGGTAGATCAACTATAATAGATTCACTTATGTTTGGACAAAGTCCTGACAAGCTGATCTGTAAATTCCCCAAAGTGGTCACTGTTTTCAAGATCCTTCAGAAGTCTGAGGTCATGGTCGCTCCACACAGACGAGGCAGGTCCTGCTCTGTTCATTCTGCAAGTAGCCTTGTGGGTCCCCAGCCCAGTCCCGACTCTTGATGGGGCTCGCCTTTCAAACCGTCAGGGTGTCATACCCCACACCCTTTTGCACGCAGGACCCCTGCACATCAAATCGATAGGGCAACCATCCAACTATTTTAATGAGGATCCAACCCAACCCTGACACACCCATCACACCCCGACCGTTGGAGGGAACAGTTGAAGTGAACATGAACATCGGTTGGCCGGTCTGTTGCCAGAGGTTGGGCAATATGATTGGTTGTTGAAGCAGATCGGAAAGCCTCGCAGCCCAGTGATGTAAAAGAGGATACATGAGGTCTTTCGAAGGAGATGTTCAGCCACCACTGGTCTCTCAATGACAAGATTTCGCACTGTACAAAATATAAAAGAAGATCTACAGGAGGTTTCCCCCAGCCGTTGAAGAGGATGATACTTGGTATTCATCATGATACTTGATATGGGTTTATATGGGTTTATATGGGTTTATGGGGAATTCAACTATGGTATACTATATTTGATGTGTGTACACCTCGGGGGCCTCACCTGATGTTCCTAAGGCCCACCGCCTTGGCTTTCTCCGTGGACACGGACCACATCTATGCGGCCACAGAGTCTCTCGGATTCTGGAGTTTTTTGTTGGCTCCTAGGATAAATATTGGGCATGTTGGGATATTTTTCATGTATCAGATCGTTTCTGGTTGGTGGTTTGGAAGATTTTCTATTTTCCCATATATTGGGAATGTCATAATCCCAGCTGACGAACTCATATTTTTCAGAGGGGTGGCTCAACCACCAACCGGTTTGATATTGGATATTTTATCATACACTGTCACTAATCTGGATCTGTGTAGCCCGTTGGGGATGATATTGCGGGATTCCATGGGTCATCAGTTTCCATAGTCATGGGGGTACCCCAATATGGATGGTTTATTTCATGGAAAATCCTATGAACAAATGGATGAGAACTAGGGGTACCCCTATTCTAGGAAACCCACATGTCAAATTTTGATAGACAAACGTTCCAATATGAGATACAGCATATTTTCTTTGTCCATGTTTGAGCTGCTCAACCTCATTTGGTAACTTCAAACCTCTTTCGATACAGTTGTTGCTCTGCTACCCTCAGGCAAGCCTGGCATGATAAAATCTTCATGTACCGCCACTCATGATCGTTGACTGATCATGGATATGTACGTATATATAACTATATATAATTATATATATATGATGATATATATATATATATCATATTATATATACATCATATTATTTATATATATATATATCATATTATATATATATATATATCATATTATATTTATATATTTATATATATATCATATATATATATATATTATTATATATTATTATATATTATTATATATTATTATATATTATTATATATTATTATATATTATTATATATTATTATTTATTATTATTATTTATTATTATTATATAATATATATATATATCTCATTATATATATATATATATCATAATATAATATATATATATCATAATATATATATATATATCGTTATTTTCCATCACGTTCCATTGATTTACTGTATGATTTTCATTCTCCTTTTCCAGTGATTTCTCATCCAGATGGAAACTCGACCAGGTCCGGTGTGGTGGCTTCCATGATGATCCAGGACCGGACCAGAAACGGATGGATCCTCGAACGGCCCCGGAAATCCGGCAGTGATGTTGTTTTTTATCGATAATAAACAAAAACATGGCAATATGAGAAGAACCATTGCCTGATTTTGAGGAACATGATTATGATTTGTGCCACGATCTCGTTGCCTGATTTCAGAACCATTGCCTGATTTTGATTATACTGAAGACTAGAAAGTGGACTGAAAATGGCATTGTGGGGTGCCAGTTATATCATGTTGAATCAATGGCTTGCCCCTTGTTTGAAGGAGGACGTAAGCAACAAATCATGGACAGTTAAGTCAACAATGACCAGAAGAAAAAGAACATGTCGCAGGTTGCTGGCTTGAACTGCGACACAGACACTGGATGAGATGCATTGAGTATTCATAAGCATGTTACACTAAATTGTACACCACAGCAAATCATAAATTTTGCAAGTAGATCCTGGATTGGAGTCAGGCCGGCACAACTGCCATTGGCAATAACAAATCATACGAAATGATACAGCAGGAATTCAACCGCCGAGTCTTTGTGAGTCGTGACCACGAATCAAAACCTCGGCAGCCAGGATGGAAGATTACAGTGGCGGAGAGACCAACCCTCAGCTTGGGTGGTTCATTGCCCATACCGCTCTCATCCAATGTCCATGTGATCCATTGGGATTAGTCCCCAAAAGACTTGTTGCGGAAACGGACCTGTTTCGGGGTCGTTTTGAGGGTCTCATGATTGTGAGGACAGAGCAACAAAAGCTATCGAACATATTTAAACAATTTTAAACATATATAACCTTTTTGTTCACTGGTGATTTAAAAAGTTTGTATGGTCGCTAATCTTTGCTGCCTGTTTGAAAGTTTGAAGTTAGTTTGTTGCAGTTGACCATATATGAGTATATAACCGACAAAAGAATTGATTGTAATTTAGTTTTGCTTCACCTTGGCCTTTCTGAGGTTGCACAAAACCTTCATAACCGACATATATATATATAACCGATAGGGGACGACCCTATACCAATACATACCGATACCCAATTTGTGATACCTCCGGGAGTACTGAAATCCTCACAACCGATAGCGGACGAACCTAATTTGTGCATGGCATTAAATTTAACAAATAGTTTCGTCCGCTACTCATATATAATATATCATTAATCCAAAAAAAGCTCAGACACGTGTTTCCAGGATGTAAAAAAGGTGTTCGGTGTCCTCCATAATTTCCAGGAGCTTCCAACTCTTCAACATTATTCAAGCATCTTTTTGAGGGTTGCTATTAGTTGCTATTATCCATAACATATCTTTCTAGAGGGTTTTTTCATGTTTTTTCTCACCAACCTGCCACGGCCTAGATCGCCTCCACCGAGCCCATGCGACTTCTGCGCAGTGTGGGTAGAGGCCTCATCAGTGCTACGGCGCGGAGACCCGGTCGTGGGTTTTTGCTTCCACAAAGTGGGTTTTGGCATGGCCAACTTGATGGGCTTAATGGGATATGTATGGGATATGTCATGTCAAAAATAGAAATATGGGTGCATCAAAACTAGGGATTTTTTTCATGTTGAGCCGCTTTCTGACAGCTGCTGGTGGTTTCAAGCTCTTTTCGTGTCTCTCTTAAAACCTCTCTTTGGGATGATCCAAGATATTTCAACCTCTAGGTTTTTGCAGGGTTGAAGCCACCAAGAAGTATGAATTTGACTGAATTTGGGCTATAAATGATGGGAAATACGAAAAAAATCCTGGGCAAACTTTCGTGCCACCCATGTTACCCATGTTTGGAGGATTGTGGCACTGATTTGCTGATTTGGCTGTGGGTTGTGATGCCTCATTTAGCGAGGTAATTACTTTCTGGTGAAGCCATGGATTGGACAGTGGGGATATTGGAGAAAATCGCTGAGCCGCCTTTTTTTGGCATACTGTACAGGTTCAAAACCATTGACATTTAGAATATCGAAGGGGCCATCTCGTGGTTCCGATCGTGACATATGGCTTAAAATTCTTCATTTGTTTGGTGGTTTGGAACATGTGTTATTTTTCCATGTATTGGGAATAATACCTGACGAACTCATATTTTTCAGAGGGGTTCAAACCACCAACCAGTCCAAAATCTGATCCATTGCTAAGGAGAATGGCTTGGTGCAAGCCTGGAAAGGCGACCAGTGGCTGTTGCTTCGTTGGTGCCAAGAGGGGTATAGACCCTGTAGCTTTGGCAAAAAATAACCACTTCAGTGGAAATCAACCCTGGGTAAAGTGTTGTGTTTCAAAGTAGGGTTCCCTCCAAAAAAAGCACAATTGTTTATCATCGTGTTCCCTAGTGTTTGATTGCCATTTGGGAGGATTTCCACACCAAAAATTTCCAGAGCACCAGGTGGCACTGGCGATTTGAGTTGGCAGCGCGACTATGGTGAGAAGGTGAGAGCAGCGGGTCAACATGGTTAATTATGATGAATGATGAATCTATCTTGATGGTTGCAAGATTCTCAGCACTTTCAATCAGACAATTTCTAGTAGTTTGTAAAGCCATCCAACAGTATATGTATATTGTATGTGTATGATTGTGTATGCAAGTATGTGTATATATATATATGTGCGTATCCACCGCAATTCCGAGTTTCACCTGGTTGTAAACAAAATTCTAGCACATGAAGTAAAGTCAAAAATTGACACCGACTAACACGGAGATCCAGCGAATAAATTTTCGGATCGTTGGCTAGATTGTCAACCATCCACCAGAGGATTCTTGGATAAACCGACATGGAGATGAACCATAGACATCTTTTGGTGATGTGCTAATTCAAGCAACACGGTTTTTGCAGCATAATGTGGAAAAACCAATGCCATAAACCATCCCTTTTCTATGGGCTTTTCCCTTTTTTTTATTTATTTTCGGCGACCCCCATTTTTTCCATGAAATTCCCCTTAAATTTCATGGTCGGATGGTCCATGAAATAAGCGAAATAAGCCATGAATTTGTTAGGAAACAGCCATATGACTATGGATCAATACCTATTAATACCATTTTTAGTGGGATGAACATCCATAAATCCCAGCTATTTTGATGTTCACCAGGGGTACTATTGGTTTTGACACACTGCCATATCACTGGTATGCTATGGCTGGTAACTCCCATCCCATCCCTGAGGTCTCAGACATTGTGCCGACTCGCGGCGCCGCACAGTCTGTGCTGCTGGTGAGAGAGAAGGAGGTGCTGCGTGGAACCAGGTGATGGGACATAGGGACCCCAGAAGGGCGGAAATATGATGAAATATGTCTAATTTGACTTAAATGATTTGACAGGAGTTTACGTAATTTTTATCTAATTTCGCACTTTCAGCACACCCTGGTATCATATATGATATTATCAAGTAGAATCATATACTAAATGCATTGAAAAGACGGGCATCAAACAGTCGAGGCATGGTGCAAATGCTCACGTCGGAATTATGGTGAATGGATTCAAGGAATCATCCCCTTAAGTAACCCTTATGTTTCAGGTTGGTGAAATAAAGAGAATCATTTAGCCAGATGTATAGTAATGTCATCCCCGGATGAATAAACCATGGTCAACCATGGTTTATGTTCGGGGGTACTCCAATATCCACAATCTACTTATATAAATGGTACCCCTCCTTTTTTGAACAGCCGTTTGGACGGGGTTTATGAAAATCCAGGGTTGACATCGCGCAGGTGGAATCCAGGAATTTGGCTGGGAAGATCGAATGGTGCATGGCTCAAAAATGGCACAATGGGCGGTGGGCAGGTAGATCACGTCATTTGAGGAGAGATCATAGCCAGCTAAGCCAGCTAAAGACCAAATCAATTGTTCACTTGAGATTTGCCATGGAAAGTGGTGCATATTAATGTACATGGTATAATATAACATGATATAATATAATGTAATAGAATAGAATATAATATAATATAATATGATATGTATATATGTATATACACATTTATATGTATATGTGGATGTGTATGTGTATGTATGTGTATGTATGTGTATACGCATATGTATATGCATATGTATATGATTGTATATGTATTTGTATATGTATATGTATATGTATGTGTGTGTGTGGTATATCTATTGCTGTTGCCAAGGCCACAACAGAGTAGGCAGTGCTTTTAACCATGCTATCGGGTGTGGCCTAGTCCTGGACCGCAGTTTCCGTCGAATCAAAAAAATGAATATGACAAATAGCTGCAATGTAATGGAAGAATAGACCTATTATCAATAATGTAAGATAATGTAAGCAATAAATGCAACAAATGTCATACAACATATCTGATACAGTCAATATCAGCAGATATTTCATTCACCCATTATCGTTGTCCTGAGGCAACTCAGCGCCAAAGACCTTTCCCCTGAGGAGCGCCACTCAGTGTGGGGGAGAGATTGGTGAAGGATACTCTGTAAGGTGTGCGACTAATTATTATATATATATATACTATGTTTGAATAGATAGCACTATACATAACTGCAGTAGATAACTGCAGTAGAAAACTGCAGTAGATAGGTTGGCAAGCATGTGTATATATTAGATAGATATATATATATATATACTTGTATATGTATTATGGATGGATGGATGGATGGATGGATGGATGGATAGATCGGTATGACAATTCCACAACGGAAAGAAATGTGACCAAAAATAGATGGGTGTGCATGGGTCAAATTGCTTGTGAGTCATATTTGTGGGTCTGAAAATGTGGGATACCTCAATTTACGTCCATGAAATAGTGAGAAGCTTGGGTTTTTCATCACCAAAATTTTGAGGTATCCTATTTTCAGACTGTGAAACAAACCCGTATCCAAGTGGTGTCTGCAAAGAACTTCGAACAATGCTGCTGGAGGGGGTCAGACATCTCCAAATGCTCTAACGGTCCTGCGCTGTTCCCTTGTCCAATGTACAACTTCGCAGGGTTGACATTGTCGGACCCTGACTTTGTCAGTCAGCGAAGTTGTGGATGTCAAAACCAGGGTACCAAGTGAACTGTCCCATACTGCACCCTTTTTCAATATACTGATATATATAATTATATATATATATATACTGATGTACAGACAAGAATTCATCGAATATTTTGGATGGTATTTGCCAAATTCTCCATGTAGTGAATAAGTCAATGATGTTTCCAAACATATGAATTCAACTACAGATCATATGAAATCGTATCAATTCATGATTTTCACCAGATTTTACCAACCAGATCCCAATTTTCCCAGCGTTTTTTCCACTATAACAGGCTAGCTACATCGCGGCCACAACGTCTGAGAATAGCGCAACTCGCCCCCAGTTTTCAGCCCTCTGATTTTTCAGCACCAAGACATGGATTTCCATCCAAAAAGCCCTCTGGTCGGCGTTACATCATGTTGATGGTGATTAATGGTGATGTTTCCATTAAAAATGGTGATTTACCGTTAATAATGACAATTAATGGTGATTAATGGTGATTAATGGTGATTTACCCTCTGGTAAACGTTTACATAACTATGCATGGGGACATCACCATGCTATTAACGGGTAAATCAACGAACTTTCTATGGCCGTTTTCAATAGCAAACTGTTAGTTTACCAGAGGGTACATCATGTCACATCATGAAGAATATGAAGATTCTGAAGAATGGAGTTCACTCCCCACTTCACAGTCATCAACAGTCGCCAAGCATTGATATTGAATGATATTGATGAATTTTGACAAATTTATATGTCTGTTTGAATTCCAGCGAACCCACTGGCCAATACAGGGAATCATCCAATAATTGCTCAACAAATCAATGCATATCAGGTAAATCCACCAAATCAATCCAAAGGTTTAGTTCCCCAAACTTCAGTGGTTCAAAAGTTGTCCCATGGTCTTCACCGTTCAATGGCCACAACGGCAGTCATCGCTAAGGTGTGTCTTCTAGCCTCGACCAAGGCTCCGAATATGGCTGTGTCAATGGGGTGTAGGTAAAACAATACCATTTTTACCACCCATTTGGAATGGTTTATACCACCTGTAAAAATGGTGATGACTGGGGGATGGTGCAAATGGCATTGTTGTACCCTACCGGAGGATTCGAAGGTACCGCTAAATCCATTGATGAAAACCCATCCTTTAAGTATTTGCCCGAAGACGACCATCGTAGGAAAAACTGATGAGAAAATAATGGATTTGGAGGTACCCAAATAAAGATTGGGATCGCGCTTGCAATCGCAAGAAGCAAAGAGGATGATTGTAGCATCAAAAACCGATTGGATTGCTCTAAGAATTACAATGATGTGATTTTTGCAGAGGGATAAACATACAAAAAACGATGGAAAATCACAATTTTTTATGGGTAAATCAACGAAGTAAATGTGCCATGTTCGCAAACTGTCAGCTACCAGAGGGTAGCTGGGCATGACCAGTTAGACAGGCTGGTGCTGTGGTGCAGAAAGCGGACTTCAGTGGCAAGATTCTGGAGAAGGCCGTTGATGGCAAAAGAATGGCGATTTAAGCATCAAAAATGAGAAAAAAAAACGCCATCTAAGCATCAAAAGTATTGAAAAGTTATAATATATATATATATATAATTATTGCCATATTTCAAGAGAACATGAGGGGCTTGAGTGGAAGAGACCAAGCAAAAATCTCAGCAATGGAACTACACTCTCCCTTTGACTCTCGTGGTACTCGTAAAAAGATGTAAAAAGTGTGTTCCCTTCTTCCAGCTGGCCAGATTACATATTTCATCATATTTCCACTCAATAGCGGCTACATATTTCCACACCAATCCATACTATTCCACTACTCTATGCTGTTGGTGTCACTCGGGTCCCAAGTCGGTCCCAAGTGGAGTTTTTAGCGACGGGAAAAGCTGCTGAATCACTGGAGCGAGATTGCTGCGACGATATTTTACATGTCAGGGGACCTCAGGGGAATATATATATATATACGTATATATATATATATATGGCAAATAATAGTGCACATCAGCTGTGTATAGAATTACTATTATAGATATGGAGTATGATATTATACAATATCAAAAACATGGATGCTACTGTATAGAAATGACGTGTTTGAGTCAGATCAGCAAGTCCAGGTGGATGCAGACTTCGAGCTTCGCAGTGCCAAAGATGCCATGGTGGTGGACGCAGGGCAACCAAGCGGAGATGGAGAGATGGGATCCCAACAATTTGTGGATGGAATTCTATGTTCGTTGGTAATGAACATTATCTGGTTGGTGGTTTCAAACATGAATTTTATGTTCCATAATAATCCATAATATATATACATATATGGGAATAATCCTTCCCATTGACGAAGTCCATCATTTTTCATGATGGTTTTTAAACCACCAACCAGTTATCCACCACTGGGGCTGCTTCAGTTCTGCATGGACCGGTGAGCCCAACATTGACATCCCATGATGAGTCGCCCAACGATGTTCGCTCAGTTGATCCACTTGAGTAAATTGCACCGATCTCGTAAGAACCTTTCCATATGTGCCATATATACAGTATATATATATATATATACATTATATATATATATATGCTATATGCCATATATATATATATATACGTGTATATATATATGTAATGGATAGGTAAGGAGAATCAGCCCCAGGGCTTGTTTTTTTTTGGGAATGATGCTCCATGCCATGCCGCTAGGCACACCTGGTCGTGCTGGCGGACGGCGCGTTATCGGTGCATCCAATTTGTTGGGCCCCCAGAGAGCCCAAGGACTCGCTAAAAATCATGGTGCTGGGGGGTTGAAGCCACCAGTTTTCAAAGACTTCTTTTTCAGAGCCATTGGATATTGGGTTAATCAATATCCCATGGTTCTTCATTTTTGGTGGATGACAATTATATATGTATACATATGACTATGGATCAGTAGCTATTAAATTGATACTTGATACATCTTAATACCATTTTTAGGGGGATGAACATCCATAAATCCCAGCTATTTTGATGTTGTACCAGGGTAACTTGACCCACATCAGCAGGTGCCAGCGGCGAAAGCCAAAGCATTGAGCTTCTCAAGGTGCTTTCCATAGTCACGTCATGGGGACCCCATGGGATCCCTAGTAGCTGGATGAAGTTTTCCATGGGAAAATCCCGTTAAACATCCCAGGATGGATGATTTGGGGGGCCCAATTTCAGGAAGCCGAATCCCAGAGATGGATATTCGGAATATGTCCATGGCTCAGATTTTTTTTTGCCCTCAAACTCATGGTAAAAAAACATGGACACGTCTGCTGGGTTTGCCCAAAAAATGGTGGATTTTCCCCCAGCGTCTCAAGTTCTGAAGATTCTAAACCATTCGATTTCATGGGTAAACCCAAGTTTTGGATCGAGATGGCCAACAGGGCAATCAATTTGCCACAAACTGGCCACATGGCTGTGATCTGAGTTGATAATTTGATATAATTATTTGGGTGTGTCTGAAAATAGTGTACCCCTAAACCCAATGGTTTTGCTGATCATTATCCCTATTAAATGGCTATAATTGGGAATATACCCTATTTTCAGACAAACCCATATAATTAGCTAAGAATTAGCCTAGATGAATGTCCAATTTGATCCCTTTGAACAGTGGACTTTCTGGCAACATAGAGGCTGCTGTGGTGTAGCTTCGGGTACCATGTTTCCATATTTCCATCAAGGACCTGACGGTATCACCAAAGCTGAAAAAACGTGTACTGCATGTAGACATGTAGATGTTGGCCATTTACCAATTGGCAAGACATGCAATGATCTTGTCGTAAATGATGACATGTGTATAGAATACGTATCATACGTATTGGTGGAAGTATGAATAGACATACAGACATACAGACATACAGACATACAGAAATACAGACATACATACATACATACATGCATGCATGCATCTATAATATCTATAATATCTATAATATCTACAATATCTATAATATCTATAATATTCATAATTATCCATACATGCATATATGCAACTAGCATACTAGCATACTAGCATACTAGCATGGCCTTGCACTGCATTACATTACATTACATTACATGAACATAAACATAAACATAAACATATATATATATTAAATATATACAGTATCAATGTGTGGACACATAGATATTTGCATATCAAGTGTCTACACACCGATTCCCAGTGGGATTTTGCCAGGCAAAATCTGGATCCTGGCGACTTCAACCATGGCAGCCTGGGCCTAAAAGGGGAATCGCCTGGGGGGGGTCCGTGCAAAAACTCCGAAACCTGTGGAGATAAAAATTGGCCAACATGGGGTTAGGTCAAAAAAGAAGATAGAGCAATCATAGTTTTCGTCAATTCGAGTGCCGGTGTATCCCATGTTTAGCCCTAGATCACGCAAATTCATCCCATGTCCAAAGAAGCTTGGGGGACACAATTCCTGGTGAAAAACACCAAAAGATCAGAAGTTCTGGGATCTGAACATCCCACTGGTATAAAACGCAAGATCATAAAAGTAGAACACTTGGGTGATTTTTTCGTGCTTGAGTTGAAGTATGTTGAAGTACACATCGGGACTAGGGAGATCCTTTTTGGGCGTCATGTTGATTCGATCTCGAATCCGCAGGCAGACCAAAGGTGTCTTCGCCATCACCGACGGTGTCAGCACTTCGGTTTTCAGCTTTGGTGGTTCAGCAGGTGCGAGACCGTTTCAGGGTGGTGAAGAGGTTTGGCAAATGGTGAATGTTGGCTTATACACATATATATATATATATACAATAGATTCTATTTGGGAAGACATACATTTTTTGTTTGGGCTCTAGATTTTGCCATGTGAAGGTGATAGATTGGGTGCATGGCCATGGCTATAGATCAGCCGCTTAGCCGCTATAGTATCTTTAGGGAATGGACAGATTGGTCACCACTAAAGTTAGTACCTTCAGATTTAGTATTTTTATGTATTTTCAGTTTGTGATGATCAGGATCTGGAATTTGAAGATGGGAACTGTGTCGCTCGGGAATGTGACTAATGTGACCTCACCCCGAATCCTAATGGTTATGGATCCAAATTACCCAGGGGACCGCAGATTGTAGTGTACTTTTTAATGGATGTTTTAGTATATATTAACATATATTAACCATCTAGTTTTAGGGGTATCTAATTTTGACCCACACCCATCATCCCATAATGTCTCAATGTCCATCTGTTTGATCAGGACTTCGCCAGCTCAAGTCGTTGGACCAGGCACGTGGGAGGTTGTTAGTTGGGACAATGGTGAATGGTCACGAGTACTGTAAGTGTTCTAGACATGAAGGAAAATAAGATCAGATAAGTTTCTACTGAACATAATGTGTTCTCTTATAATTGAGGTTTATCTAAGATTATCTAAGTATGTTTCTCCATCAACATGGAGGAATACTTCACGCAAACATTACGGCCTAGATTTCAGCAACATAATGGGTGGACATTGGTTGGGATTGCGGAGGCTTAGAAATAGCAGGCCGTAGCAATAGAGCTGATGCTTTCACTCCTTTTTTTTGATTTTGTGATGATTCTGACCCCAGCTGTCCTTAACCTTCACTTTTGCGAAAAAATGCCTGATTTTTCGATCAACCACTTGAGGGTAGATCATTTCCCAAGGTTCCCCCGTGATGTCAATGAACCAGATGGTAAATATCAAAAAAATTAGCCTCCAAAAGGGCTATGTTTCAGCCCTATTCTTGCTGCTTGAATATGCTTAAATCATCTATCAAAAGTTAAAATCAGCTATATAAATCACTTAAACCATCTGAAATCTCCAGAACTCTGTGGCTTCCTATGGCATTTTGAACAAAGCCCCGTTAAAGGTGGCCGTGGTGGGCCCCGTCTTCGGCGTCAGCGACGACGAGACCGGGCAGCTGGTGGCCTTGGCCTTCGCCAAAGCTGAGGCAGCTGGGGAATGGTTAGGATATTTAATAGATAGTATATACTTGTGATTTAATTGATATTAATCTAATAGATATTAATCAATTACCAGAGGGTAATCATTTGCAATAAATAGTACTCTGGTTGGTGGTTTGGAACATGAATTTTATTTTTCCCATCATATTGGGAATGTCATCATCCCAACTGACGAACTCATATTTTTCAGAGGGTTGAAACCACCAACCAGTAATGGTCGATAGATAAATAGATAATGGTAATAGTTAGGGTATATAAATATAGCACCTATGAAAATGGTTGTTTGGGGGATGGTTTATTATGGTTTATTATCGGTTTACCCACATTAGAATATATTGATCCTATATTGTACTGGATGGTAGTAATAATCAGTTAGTATATGGATATTGCCAGGTTAATATAGGATAATGATAAACAATAATAGATTGTATATAGATATGGGTAACAGTAGTGGTCTATCCATTATTGATATACTAATGTTAAGTATCTAATAGAGGAGTGATGCTGGTGATGGGATTGCAAATGATTACCCTCTGGTAATTTGACAGTTTGCTATTGAAAATTGTACTTTTGTAGTCGATTTTCCATAGCTATGTTAGTTTACCAGAGGTTAGGTGATGCCAGGGTATGGATATTACCAGGTTAATATAGGTAATGGTTAATGGTTAATATAATTTCCAAGGAATTAATCTAATTAGGAATATTTAGGTATAAAAACCCATAATGGTCGATATAGGTGATTAATGTGTTTAGAAATATTTCTGTATCCTTATTCTTCCTGAAAGCAGCGATGGGAGCGCCTAGTTTTTCAGCGTTTTCCTTTTTTGTGATACTTTCATATCCAAAACAAGGTGGGTATGTCTAGAGCCTCAGAGTACCGCTGGCATTTGTCAACATCTGCAACTCTTGTGTTTCACATTGTTTCACGCTAGATCAACACATCTAGTAAGGTGATGTCAGGTGTTCATTGGGCACACAAGATGGAAGAACAGATTGTGGTGCAAGGCCATCCACACAAGTTTCCTCAAGTCATCCCAGCTCAACCACTCTAAGACAAGATCAACGAGCCAATCAGTCAATCGGGAGTTTTTATATGCATATATATATATAGAGAGAGAGAGAAGAGAGAGAATATAAACACAGATATACATATATATATATACATAATTATACGTGTATATATATATATATTATATATATATATATTTATCAAACTGCCGACATTGTTGTCTCTGCGGATGTGTCTGTGGATGTGGCATTCTTGGTGGAATCTTTCAGGGCACCCCCTGATCAGATGGGGATGGGGCACCGCGTGCCTTCGGAGTTGATCTTCCAAGGCATCCTGAGGTGACTCGAAAAGCCTGATTCTACAGA